TTCCAGTTTTCCCACCAGTTTTTGTCAAATAATGAATTTTTGTTCCAAAAGTTTGGTTCTGTGGGTTTATTACATTCTAGATTACTATGGTCACTTACTATAATGTAATTTGTATTTAATCTATTCCACTGATCTACCACTCCACTTCTTGGCCAGAGCCATATTGTTTTGATAATGACCATTATATATTACAGTTTGAGATCTGGTGTGGTTAGACCACTTTCTTTCACATTTTTAAAAAACTGATTCCCTTAATATGCTTGAGGTTTTATTCTTCCAGATGAATTTTGTTCTTATTTCTTTTAGATCTATAAAACAATTTTTGATAGTTTGACTGGTATGGCACTGACTAAATAGATTAATTTAGGTAGAATTGTCATTTTTATTATATTGGCTCTTCCTACCTATGAACAACTGATATTTTTCCTATTATTCAGATCCTACTTTATTTGTATGAAAAGTATTTTATAGTTGTGTTCATATAGTTCCTGAGTTTGTCAGGCAGGTAGACTCCCAAGTATTTGATATTGTCTAAAGTTATTTTAAATGGAATTTCTCTATCTTTTGTTGCTGGACTTTGTTGGACTATAGAAATGCTGATGATTTAGGTGGGTTTATTTTGTATCCTGTAACTGTGTTAAAGTTAATTATTTTAAGCCATTTTTAATTGATTCTCTAGGATTTTCTAATTATAACATCATATCATCTGCAAAGAGTGATAGTTTTGTTTCTACATTGCCTGTTCCAATTCCTTTCATTTCTTTTTCTCCTCTTATTGCTATAGCTAACATTTCTAGTACAATATTAAGTAATACAGATGATAACGGGCATCCTTGCTTCAGCCCTGATTATATTAAGAAGGCTTCTATCTTCTCCCCATTACAGATAAAGCTTGCTGATAGATAAATATTACTTATCATTTTAAAGTTAGCTCTGTTTATTCTACACTCGCTAGTGTTTTTAATAGGAATGGGTGTTATATTCTGTCAAAAGCCTTTTCTGTATCTTTTGAGATAATCATATGTTTTCTTTTGGTTTTGTTATTGATGTGATCAATTATGCTGATAGTTTTCCTAATATTGAGCCAGCCCTGCATTCCTAGAATAAATCTCACCTTGGTCATATTATATGATCCTTGCGATATATTGCTGTAATCTCTTTGTTAGTAATTGATTTAAAATTTTTGCCTCAATATCCATTAGGGAAATTGGTCTATAATTTCTTTCTCTGTTTTGGCTCTTTCTCGTTTGAGTATCAGCACTATATTTGTGTCATGAAAGGAATTTGGTAAGACTCCTTCATCTATTTTTCCAAATAGTTTATACAGTATTGGGATTAATTGTTTTTTAAATGTTTGGTAGAATTCAGTTGTGAATCCATATGGTCCTGGGGATATTTTTCTTAGGAAGTTCATTGATCACTTATTCAATTTCTTTTTCTAAGATTGGGTTATTTAAGTATTTTATTTCTTCTTTTGTTAATCTAGGTAATTTATGTTTTGGTAGATATTCAATCTATTCCATTTAGATTGTCAAATTTATTGGCACATAATTGTGCAAAATAGCTCCTAATAATTGTCTCTTTCCTCTTCATCAGTGGTGAGTTCACTCCTTTCTTTTTTGATACTAATAATTTGGTTTTCTTCTTTCCTTTTTTAAATCAAATTAACCAATGGTTTATCTATTTTATTGTTTTTTTTTTAATAAAAGCAGCCTCTAGTTTTATTTATTAGTTAAATGGTTTTCTTACTTTCAATTCTATTAATCTTTCCTTTGATCTTCAAGATTTCCAATTTGGTGTTTAAGTGAAGATTTTTAATTTGTTCTTTTTCTAATTTTTTTAGTTGCATGCCCAATTAATTGATCTACTTTTTCCGTATTTTATTGATGTAAGCCATTAGAGATATAAATTTTCCCCTAAGTACCACTTTGGCTTTATCCCATAAATTTTGGCACATTATTTCATTGTTGTCATTTTCTTTAATGAAATTATCAATTTTCTCTATGATTTGTTCTTTGACCCACTTGTTTTTAGTATTAGATTATTTAATTTCCAATTAATTTTTAATTTCTCTCTCCATTGTCCATTATTGAATGCAATTTTTAATGCATTATGACCTGAAAATAATGCATTTACTATTTCTGCTTTTCTGCCTTTAGTTGTGAGGTTTTTATGTTCTAATACATAGTCAATTTTTGTGTAGGTGCCATGTACTACTGAGTAAAAGCTATATTCCTTTCTCTTCCCATTCAATTTTCTCTAGAGATCTATCATATCTAATTTTTCCATAATTTTATTCACCTCCTTAACTTATTTCTTGTTTATTTTTTGGTTAAATTTATCTAGTTCTAAGTGGGGAAAGTTGAGGTCCCCCACTAATATAGTTTTATTATCTATTTCCTTTTGTAACTCATTAGACATCTTTAAAATTTTAGATACTGTGAGAGGCAGTTAGGTAGCACAGTGAGTACAGCTCTAGCCTTGGAGTCAGGAGGACCTAAGTTCAAAACCAGCCTCAGACACTTGACACTTGTGTGACCCTGGGCAAATCACTTAACCCCAACTGCCTCACCAAAAAGGAAAAAAAAAATTAGATACTATACTATTTGGTATATATATGTTTAGCATTGTTATGACTCCATTGTCTATGGTACTTTTCAGAAAGATATAGTTTCCTTCTTTATCTCTTTTAGTTAGATACATTTTTGCTTTTGGTTTGTCTGAGATCATGATTGCTACCCCTGCTTTCTTGGTTTCAGCTGAAACATAAGAGATTCTGCTCTAGCCCCTTATTCTTACCCTGTATCTCTCTGCTTCAAGTGTGTTTCTTGTAAACAACATATTGTAGGATTCTGGTTTTTAATCCATTCAGTTCTCCACTTCCATTTTATGGGTAAGTTCATCCCATTCACATTTGTAATTATAACTAACTGTGTATTTTCCTCCATTCCATTTTTCATTTGTTTATCCCCCTCTCTCTTTTACTTCCCCAACCTTTCCAACCTCATAAGTGTTTTACCTCTGATCACTAACTTCCCCAATATACCCTCCCCTTTATTAGTTCCCTCTCCTCCTTCTATTATCATCATTCCTTTTTACTTCCTCATAGGGTAAGGTACATTCCTATATCCATCCGAGTGTGTATATTGTTCCCTCTTTGAGCCAATTTTGATGAGGGTAAGGTTGAAGCTTTGCCCACCACCTGCTTCCCTGCTGCTAGACCAATTCTACAACAGTTTTCTAGTTGTTTGAAGGAGAATTTGGAAAGGCTTCAGAGGGTGCCTTCTTACTCTACCATCTTGGCACTGGAAGTCCTCCCTTGTTTTCATTGAAATGGTTTTACATTACATTAATTTTGTAATTGAATTTTAAAATATGTTATTATATTATCTATCTCACAGCATCAACAAACCTGCTTTGAACAATAATCTCCATCTCAATAACAGGCAACATAATCTGCCTCTTCCTGTACACATTTACATTGCATCATTTTAAGAAATGGAGAAAGAAATAGGAGTACAATATAATACAACACATATTTCCTAAGCACCTATTGTGTGCAGAACCCTCTGCTAGACATTGGAGAAGACAAAGTTTAGGTAAAAAGTGATCTCATGATCCTCATGGAGCTTACTTGTAATTGAACCCTAACATGGTAAATATTGTATATGTTCATTTGCAAGTTACAAAATTCTGTACTATGCTAGGTCTGAAAGGGAAAGATAATTACCAAGCAGAGTGAGTGTTTTGAAGGAAGTACCCTGTAAGTGGATTCTAAAGAGTTGTTAGGAATTTAACAGGGGAAGGAAGAATTGGGGGCCCATAAACAGCCTAAGCAGAGGTCAGAGGCATGAGAGAACATGTTACAGAGGTTTCTAGTTTGGCTGAACATTGTATATAAGAGGCGAGAGAAGGAATATGGGACCATCATTTTTTAGGTGATTAATCCATCCAACAGATAAATTTTTTCCCTAAAAATGATCATTTTTTCTTTGATTTCAAATTTTACTTGTATTAAATAGATATAACATAAGACAAACAGTTTAGCTTTTAAAATTTTAATTTAATTTTTTTCAATTAAAATTATTTTATTTTTCTCTTACCCACCTTTCCCCCTTTGAAACCTTTATAACAATATGCATAGTCAAGCAAAAATTTTCCTTATTGGACATGTAAAAAAAAAGTCCCAACCTGAACCCATTACCTTTATGTCAGAAGCTGAATAACATACAGATATTTACTCTTTGTATAAAAAGAAGTTGTTTAACTTTTCTTTTATTTAATATTTTGTTTAGGACTTACCAGTCTGATCTTATTATTTCCTATATCAATTTCTCTTCATTCATGCCAATCTAAATAACTATTCTTCTAAATTCTTTCCTTCTGTTTTAAATTTTCTCATGTTTTTCTAAAACCTAAATAGAAGATTGTCTAAAAAGTTCTCTGAAGTTTTCGACATTTTCAGAGTTGAAAATGTTTAAGATGCAAGATATCCACATCTATTAGAAATAATGTCTTGATAAAACTGCAGTTGCCTATGTAGGGTGATCAAGGGGGTCTTAAGAAAACCACCTACCTTGCAAATCTCCTTTCTAGTCTGAAACATTGCCTGAAGTTGAGCTATTCAAGAACCATTACTTTGGGTTAAAGTGTATCTTTCTAGGGCAGCTAGGTGGTGCAGCGGATAGACCACCAGCACTGAAGTCAAGAGGATCTGAATTCAAATCTGACCTCAGACCACACACTTGTCACTTACTAGCTGTGTGACCCTGGGCAAGTCACTTAACTCCAATTGACTAATAATAATAATAATAAAATAATAATAAAATGTACCTTTCCAAATGTCCTATTTAAAAACACAAATTCGTCACAGAATGAGGTTGTCATTCACACTTTAATGTGAATTATTTTGTATAGAGGTCTGATGATCTATGGCCTGTGAGACAAATCCATCTCACCATTAATTTTTGTATAGCCACAAGCTAAGAATATTTACCTACCTCTGGTCTACTAGATCACTTGCTTCAATGACAGAAGGAGAATGGATATGAGAGCCCTGTATACCTCAAAGCAGGGAGAGGACCTTGAAAAGAAAAGGGAGCAAAGAAAACAAAGTGATAAAATTTCAATATTTCAATACATTAGAGACAAATTTATCCTATTCAAAACTCTGATTAGGTAAGCCTCAGTCAAGATTTTTGCAAACTGTTTCCTTTGCCTCTAAAACTCAACCTGGCCTTGAGGTCACATATTACCTATTCCATACTATTAGAATGCCACTACAACCATCATGAAGCATTTATTAAGAACCTGAATACAAGTAACACTGCATAAAAAGGTCCCCATAGATCTGCCCCTACTAATATATTGAATGACAGACAGGATGCAAAATGGCCTTGAAAGAAATAATGATGGCTTCAATTTTGGAATATATATTTAATGGGGGAAAATATAAAGTCCTTCAAATGGGTTTGAAAGAATCAATTATACAAGGAGAGGCTGGCTGGACAATATTGTACTTCCTGAGGGATATACATAGGTGTGCATAGAGCATTGGCCAGGTGTGCTGGCATACCCAGGGTGGGGAGAAGTGGGGAATATCTATATCAACCCATTTCCTTCACACACTATATACATGCTTATGCACAGGTGACTTTTACTAGACTGCAAACTCTATATGTGTGATACAGATGCCAAAAAGCTAACTCAAGCTGAAGCTATATTGAGAAGTAGATTGTTAATAGTCAAATAGAATAGTCTCCCTTATCTCTTCCCTGTTCTGACTATATCTGGAATATTGTGTCTAGTTCCAGTTGCCACATTTTAGGAAATACATTAATAAACTAAAAAGTTTCCAAAAAAGGATGACTGGAACAATGAGGGGACTGAAGACCATGTGTAAAGGTATCAGTTGAAGGAATTTGGGCTATGTAGCCTAGAGAAGATAAAACTTAGGGGAGGTATAATACCTGTCTTCAAAAATTGGAGAGCTGTCACCTGGAAAAGGAATCATACATATTCTGTTAGCCCCTAGGAGCACTAGGGGAAAATTGCAGAGGCAGGCTTCAACTTCATTTAAGAACAAACTTCTTGGGGCAGCTAGGTGGCACAGTGGACAAAGCACTGGCCCTGGAGTCAGGAAGACCTGAGTTCAAATCTGGCCTCAGACACATAACATTTACTAGCTGTGTGACCCTGGACAAGTCACTTAACCCCATTGCCTAGCCAAAAAAAAGAATAAACTTATTATCAATTAGAACTGTTCAAAAGTAGAATGGATCAGACAGAGCCAAGATGGTAGAGTAAAGGCAGGGACTCACCTGAGTTCAGCCCCAAATCCCTCCAAATCCCTTTAAATAATACTCTAAACAAATTCTAGAATGGCAGAACCCACAAAAAGATGGAGTGAAATAATTTTTCCAGCCCAAAACAACTTAAAAGGTCAGGGGAAAAGGTCTGCTGCACTGGGGTGAGAGAGGAGCGTGGTCCAGTGCAGGCTGTGCCAGTGCAGACTGGGGCCCAGCAAACCAAGAGTAGGCCTTGGGGGTGACTGAATCAGTGGCAGCAGTATTGGTTTCCAGGCCTCCCAAAACCACACATGCCAAAGACAACTTGGAAAGTCAGCAGGAAAGGTTTGACATTCCTGAATGAGAGTGGACACAGTCCAGCGCAGGCCCCCGCAGGTCTATACTAAGGCCCCAGCAAACCAGCATCAGGCCTTAGGAATGACTGAATCAGCAGTGGCAGCAGCTGCCAGAGCTCTCAGTCCACAGACAGCAAAGGGGTGGAACAACTGGTCAGAAGGAGATTACAGGGGTCCTAGCACTAAGGCAGGACTCTATTGCTTTGCCCATACTCCAATCTGGGTGACAGTCCTAGGTGGCAGTCCCAGGGTAAGGAGGAACACACCAGAGCTTGCAGCCACAGTGTAGCAGGGACCCTTCTCACAGTTCCAGGGCAGAAAAGAATGCTTGTGGTCACTCACAGAGCACAGCATAGGCCAGGAGAGTAGTAAACACTTCCCCTTAGATCATACTACCTTGGAAAAGCTGAAAATGTATAGGGCCTAGAAGTATCTCTGAAAACAGCTGCAATAAACATCTGAAGCTTGGGATAGTGCACTCCTCCCCCACCCCCCATCCCCCCAAAAGCAAAGCCTACTTTAACAAAGAATTAAAAGTCAAGTAACAGGCTGGGAAAATGAGCAAATAAAAGAAAAAATTCTGACCATAAAAAAATTACTATGGTGACAAGGAAGATCAAAGCACACACTCAGAAAAAGATAACAAAGTCAAAGCTCCTACATCCAAAACTCCAGGAAAAATATGAATTGGTCTGAGGCTATGGAAGACCTCAAAAAGGATTTTGAAAATGAAGTAAGAGAAATGGAGGAAAAATTGGGAAGAGAAATGAGAATAATGCAAAGAAATCATGAAAAAATTGGGTCAAAAGCTTGGTAAAGGAGACACAAAAAATACTGAAGAAAATAACACCTTAAAAAAAGACTAGGCCAAATGGTAAAAGAGGTCCAAAAAGCCAATGTGGAGAAGAATGCCTTAGAAAGCAGAATAGGCCAAATGGAAAAAAAAGAGGCAAAAAAATTCATTGAAGAAAAAAAAAACTCCTTCAAAAGTAGAATTGGCCAAATGGAAAAGGAGGTACAAAAGCTCACTGAAGAAAATAATTCCTTAAAAATTATAATTGAGCAAATGGAAGCAAATGACTTCATGAGAAGTCAAGAAACAATAAAACAAAACCAAAAGAATAAAAAATAGAAGACCATGTGAAATATCTCACTGGAAAAAAAAAAACTTACCTGGAAAATAGATCCAGAAGACATAATTTGAAAATTATTGTACTACCTGAAAGCCATAATAAAAAAGAGCCTAGACAGCATCTTTCAAGAAATTATCAAGAAAAGCTGTCCCGATATTCTAGAACCAGAGGGTAACATAGAAATTGCAAGAATCCAACGATCACCTCCTGAAACAGATCCCAAAATGAAAACTCCCAGGAACATTATAGCCAAATTCCAGAGCTCCTAGGTCAAGGAGAAAATACTGCAACCAGAAAGATACAATTCAAGTATTGTGGAGCCACAGTCAGGATGGCACAAGATTAAGCAGCTTCTACATTAACGTATTGGAGGACATGGAATATGATATTTCAGAGGGCAAAGGAGCTAGGATTACAACCAAGAATCACCTACACAACAAAACTGAGTATAATCCTTTAAGGAAAAAATGGATATTCAATGAAATAGAGGACTTTCAAGCATTCCTGATGAAAAGACCAGAGCTAAATAGAAAATTTGACTTTCAAATTCAAGACTCAAGAGAAGCATAAAAAGATAAACAGGAGAGAGAAATCATAAGGAACCTAATAAAGTTAAACTATTTACATTCCTACATGGGAAGATAATGCTTGTAACTCAAAAGAACTTTCTCATTATTAGGGCAGTTAGAAGTAGTATATATAGAAAGAGGGCACAGTTGTGAGTTGAATATGAAGGGATGATGTCTAAAAAAATAAAACTAAGGGGTAAGAGAGGAATGTACTGGGAGAAAGGGAAAGGGAGAAGTAGAATGGGGTAAATTTTCTCACATAAAAGAGGGAAGAAAAAGCTTTCTGCAGTAGAGGGGAAGAGGGAAGCGGTGAGGGGGGAGTGAGCGAACCTTATGCTCATCAGAATTGGCTCAGACAGGGAATAACATACACACTCTATTGGGCATAGAAATCTATCTTACTGTACAGGAAAGTAGGAGGGAAAGGAGTTAAAAGAAAGTAAAACAAGGAAAGGCAGACTAGGGGAGGGGGTAGTCAGAAGCAAAACACGTTTGAGGAGGGACAGAGTAAAAGGAGAGAGAGAGAATAGAATAAGCAGAGGGCATAGGATGGAGAGAAATACATTTAGCAATCATGACTGTGAAAAAATTTTGAAGCAAGTTTCTCTGATAAAGGCCTCATTTCTCAAGCATATAGAGAACTGAGTCAAATTTATAAAAATAAGTCATTCCTCAATTGATAAATGATCAAAAGATATGAAGTTTTCAGGTGAAGCAATCAAAACTATCTATAGCCACATGAAAAAAATGCTTTAACTCACTATTGATTGGAGAAATACAAATTAAAACAATTCTGAGGTACTACCTCATAATCATTAAGTTGGCTAATAGAACAAAAAAGGAAAATCACAAATGGTGGAAAGGATGTGAGGGAAAAGGGCTACAAAACCATGCATACCCTTTGAGCTACCAATACCACTAATAGGTCTGTATCCCAAAAGAGATTTTAAAAATGGAAAAGGACCTATATGTATAAAAATATTTATAGCAGTTCTTTTCAGGGGGGGCAAAGAATTGGAAATTAAGGTGATGCCCATCAACTGGTGGATAGCTGAACAAATTGTGGTATGTGATTATGATGGAATACCATTGTTCTGTAAGAAGTGATGAATAAGATACTCTGTAGAAAAACCTGGAAAGACTTAACATGAGCTGATGCAAAATGAAACATACTGTGTAGAAAGTAACAGCAATATTGTAAGATGATCGGCTGTGAATGATTTAGCTGTTCTCAGCAATATAATGATCCACGACAACTCTGAGGGACTTATGATGAAAAATGCTATCCAACCCCAGAGAAAGAACTGATGGTGTCTGAATACAGATTGAAGCATACTTTTCTGATGGCGTCTGAATACAAACTGAAGCATACTTTTTTTTTAACTTTATTTTTCTTGAGGGGTTTTTTTCTTTTTTATGGTCTATGTTTTCTTTCAAAAGTAGAATGGCTTATCTCAGGAGATAATAGGTTCCAAATCATTAGAGGCCTTCAAACAGAAATTGGATGGCTATGTCTCCAGGATGTTGTGGGGTGGATTCCTGTCCAGCTATGGGTTAGATTGAGGTCCTTTTTTAACTCTGAAGTTATGTAATTCTAGCAACCTACAATTATATGGCCACACTGACCCAGCTATATAGAAGCACAGGAAGTAGAGGGAGCTTAATAAAACTATTAACCTAATACAAAACAAATACTGTAGTAAGGTATTTACATATTGGTGCTGCAAGTTTG